TGTTTTGGGGAGAAAGGGATCCGCTGCGCTGGAGAAACATTGCACATCAATTGAGGGTTTTTACACGGGTCGATTCGGTTCGGATCCGGAGGCCAATCCCACGACTATATCGGATATGAGATCCGTGTGTGTGTGTATATATATATATATAGGGCTGGGCATATTCGATTCGGATCGGTTTTAAGCTCAATCCGCATCCAATCTGAATTTTTTGAATTCTCAAAACTCTTATCCAGATCCAGATTTTTTTTCCCTTCATCCGAATATTCGGCCCAACTGAAATTCGGATCGGTTCGGATCGGTTTCGGTTTTGGACCGAATTAATACTATTTCACAAAAATCTGCTCACACCTGAAATCATTGCCTATTAATTTCTGATGAAGTATCATTATTTGTCCATTTTGTCTACTTAACTTTTTTCCCCCAAACAATAAAATGTGGAGCTTGTTTGAAGTAACACCATTGCCACAGCTAACAAAAAACTGAAATCAGTGAAATGAGCGCAAACTATATCAACAAGTACTTATGGTTATGTAACATTCAAATATTAATTAACTATACTCAAAAGGTTATCTTTCATTTCTTGGAAAACAACTTAACATGCCTCTAGTAGAATTTGAAAGTTTATACGAGGTTTCACCGATTTTAATGTGGGCATATACGCTAGCAGGCCCAATGAAAAAGGAACTATACAATATATCTGTTGTTGAGCCTGAAGTCGTTTGTCGTTTAAAGCTTCAAGTTCTTGCAAACGTCGCTCGTGCTTCTCTTCCTCTGTTAGTCCGGTTGCGATAGCGACTCTTAAAGAAGGAATTTGAATTTCTAATGGCAGTACGGCCTCGCAGCCATATACCAAAGAAAACGAACTCTTGTAGGGGTCCTTACTGTTGTGCGGTAGGCCCACAAACATTCACCGAGTTTTTCGTCCCAATCTCGTCGGCTCTTAGAAACAAACTTTTTGAGGAGCTTCACGATAGTTTTGTTAAAAGCCTCTGCAAGACCATTTGCCGGCGGATAATATGCCGTGGATGCGACACTTTGGATGCGAAATTTATCACAGAATCTCTGAAATCCAAAGCTAACGAATTGTGTCCCGTTGTCGTGAACTATTCGTCTCGGGACCTCCCTTCTCGCCGTCGAGCCGAGAACCCAAACCCTCTCCCTCTCTTCCAAGCGTCGAGCAGCGCCGACGCCCTCTCGCCGTCGAGCTCCGCAGAGAGAGACCCTCTCAGCCGTCGATCAGCGCCGACGGCTCTTGGTGAAACCATCTCGCCGTCGATCAGCGCCGACGCCCTCTCGCCGTCGATCTCCGCAGAACCCAAACCCTCTCGCTTGAATCAGGTGCGTTTTCATCTTCTTGCTTGATTTAGGGCTTTTTGATGTGGGTTGTTGATGTTTTAAGCGATTACTTTCTAGGTTGTTGTTTGTGAAAGTGAGTAGATTTGGGGAAACTTTAACCCTAACTTTTTAATTTTAATTTTCTAGGTTGTTGTTTGTGAAAGTGAGTAGATTTGGGGAAACTTTAACCCTAACTTTTTAATTTTAATTTATTTTACTCATTTTTAATTTTGATTTATAGCTTGGTGTTAAGACTTCTTGCTTGAAAGTGAGTAGATTTAGGGCTTTTTAATTTCTAGGTTGTCGTCTTGACCCCCCGTTGGTGTTCTTCTTGTTAGAATATGCTTTTCCAGCGGCCAGCATAAGTTGTATTTTTCTTCTATCATAGATATTATAATATGCTCATTACAGTCCGCTGGTGTTGTATTTTTCTTCTATCATAGATATTTGAACGATTATTGTGTGGTTGAATATGAGATCTGCAGAATTCATATGATCCCATTTATCTGAACCAAACATAAATTGTGCCCAGACTTCTATGTAACATGAAGAAGAAAGAAAATCTAGAGAATGTAAAATTAGAGATTTTTTGTGTGCTACACTTTTGAGACAATCTAGAGATTTTTTTTTCTTTCCTGCGGATAGTTCGAACAACTAAGTCAAGAAGAAGAAAATGTAAAATTTTACATTGACAAATACAACATCTGTTGGAAGCCATTAACATGTCACACAAAAACATTCGTGCATATAAAATTTTACACTGAAACATTTTGAGTTCTCTCCTGGGTCCATGTGACAATGTTTGCAACTTGGTTTTTTTAATCTATCACCGATTGCTTATTGCCACATTGGTTATCCACTTGAGAGTACATGCATTGTTTACTGTAGTGATGGCAACCTGTGGATTTTAAGCTAAAGTACATGAGGATGGTCCCCCCTACCCCTATAAAACCGAAATGTCTCTTTGATCTGGATGAATGTAGACCTGGCTATAACTTCATATGGATGCTTTGATCTGGATGAATGTAGACCTGGCTATAACTTCATATGGATGCACATATTCTAATTTGCTCTTTAATATGATTGTCTGGCTGGCTATAACTTCATATGGATGCACATATTCTAATTTGCTCTTTAATATGATTGTCTGGTTAAACTTTTATATCTGTAGCCGTGGATCATGGAGTCATCTTCAAGCAATCGTCGTGGACTATTGTGTCATTGTGGAAGGATGGCTATACTCTCTAGATCTGGAACTAAGAAGAACCCTGGTCGATTGTTTTTGGGATGCGCTAATTAGAGAGAGAGTAATTGTGGATTCTTCAAATGGGTGTCTGATGAAGAAGAGTTTGAAGGGTCAAAGGCAGAGCTTGTTCAGACGAATCAGTCGAGTGTGACGCCACAAGTTTCAAGAGCCGTGTCAAGTGGGGAAGTGCGGGAAAGGAGAAAGTTTTTCCTTGATATTATGGATTTGTTGAAGGTTGTTGTATTTTCTCTTTTATTTGGTATTTTTATCGGATTTGTATTTGGTATTTTTATTGGATTTGTGCTAAGTAGGGTGTAAGAATGTATTATTGGATTTGTTGAAGTGTATGTTCTCTGCATGTGTACTAAATATGTTGCCCAGGTTTATGTTGAAGTGTTATGTTCTCTGTATGCCAAGGCTTATCAATGGTAATAAGTTTGCGGATGAAACATCATTCACTTGAAATCTCTATCAACAGGAGACATACTAGTAATCTTTTTATTTCCTCTTAATGTTGAGTGTACCTGCAAAGATGATATCCCAACCTACGCCTTTAGAAAGTTTCCTGTAAGCTTTCTATTTCCTCTTAATGATATGCAAATATTATGGCAGAAGCAACAAACGACGGAAACTATACAAATATTACAATTGCTCCCTTTTTGCACAAACTTCATGTTGTATCGTAACTCTTTAATGTAAAAAAGTAAAAGCATATAGATGAAAGAACTGGAGCTGAGAAACAGGAGGCATTAGTGCTTACTCATTAAAGTCTCGTTGCATATGAAGAATGTTGTTCACCCTTGCTGCATCACCAAATGAAGCTGTTCCTATGATGTCAAACCTCTGGTAGCCACCAAAAAGATGCAGCATACGCAGCAAAGTTTAAAAAATGAGACATGCTATGCTCATGGTATCAATTAAAACTAAAGCGCAAAAAAGATGAAGGAAACAGAGAATAAGAACAAGAATATCCAATAAACACCAGACAGCCATAACCAAGCACTTAATTGCAAGGAAACAGAGAATAAGAACAAGAATATCCAATAAACACCAGACAGCCATAACCAAGCACTTAATTGCAAAAGAAAAGCAAAACCTTCCAATGCTGCGAGATATCACCTAGCTGTTCTTTTGTCAATATCATCATAGCTACCTACTGTTGCCCTTTTGAATCCATGTTGCATAAGCATAACAACCAAAATGGACTTAACTATTAAACAAAAGATGAAACATCATTCACTTAGGGTACCACACAAATACATAACCAAAGATACAAAATTAAACCCATTGGTGCTCTGCCTTCATCACCAAGTCAGCAACAGAACCACGCAAACCTCTGCATGATGCACCATAACTATCCAACCTTTCATCACAAAGTCAGCAACAGAACCACCAAAAGATGAAAATAAGCAACAATGAAATGGACTTAAATATTAAACATAAGATGAAACATCATTCACTTGGGGTACCACACAAATACATAACCAAAGATACAAAACTAAACCCATTGGTGCTCTGCCTTCATCAACCCCTTCTCACCAATAGTGATATGATTTGCTCTGCCAACCTTGATTAAACTTCACGCAATAGTGAGAACTTCATCTGTATTAAAAAAAAATAAAAAAACATAGTGCTTCATCACATTAAAAAATCACATTATATAATACAAAT